CTAGTCACATGAACTCACAAAGCCTCCACAGAGTAAACCCTACTTCCCAAATCCAATACTTCTCAGTCTTCTCGACCTCTCTTCAGTATTTTGCCTTTCCTCAAAATTCTCTCAACTTCTGGGGACTCCTTTCATTCTCTGCCTACGCATCTCAGCCCCATCAATTAGCCCATTTCCCCCATTTGGCCCATTTGGCCCCCTGGCTACTATCTGGCCTTGGTAATCTCAGACCTTCTTGACTAATAACTCCTACATTTGTATCTTCAACTCACACCTCCTTTTCTAAGTTCTCAATCATAATTTCAAGTTACCAACTAGACATATCCACCTGCATGTATTTACTTATTAAACAACGGAGTGCCTTTAACGGACAACCACTGTCTGAGGTGCCAGGGAGAGAGCAATGAAAAGACAGTCCTCACCCTTTCAGACCTTACATCCTAGCTTGGCAGGGAAGGGATTAGATACTCCATAAGCACTTCAAATCCAACATACCTGAAAACCAGACTTACTATCTACCTTCTAACTCCACTCTTCCCTCCTGTACTCCTCATCTTCTCCTCTGACGAGCCCGCGTATTTATTCAATCACTATGCCCCGTTCACTCTATCTCCTAAACATCTCTTTGTTATGTACTTTCCTTCAACCCCTCTTCCAACTGCCTTAGTTCTGCTTTCAACATTTCTCATCTGGACTGCTGCAACAGCCTGTTAACTGATTTCTCTGCTTTATGAAAGGAAGAATCAATCCACTTTCCACACCATCTACAATGCTGTTTTCATCTGGGTAAAAGTCCTTCCCAGCTTAAGATCCCTCAGGACTTCCCACTGCCTGGAGTCTTCATCAGTACGCACTTTATACTCTATCTGTGCTACCCACATCCACTCCTGCTTCCAAGAAGAACAAATGCTCCAGGTGGAACCAAATGACCCACACTTGCTATCCTCTCTGCTGGCAAGCTGTCCCCTTCCTTGGGAGCCTACAAAACCCCTGATCAACATTTAAGGCTTAGCTCCTTTAACTGATAGCACAGTGGTTAACAGCCCAGGACCTAAAGCTAGACTCCATGAGTCTGAATCCAGCTCATACTGGCTGTATGAATTTGGGCAAAGTTATTTAATTTCTCCAAACCTCACTTTTCCTTTCCAAAGTAGGAGTAATGGTAGCAGCTACTTCACAGGGGGTTGGGAATTGAATAAATATACGGAAGTTCCTGGCATGCAGCAAAAGCTTCATCAGTGTGCAGCTCTCACTGTCTTCTCCACCACTCTTCCCCCATAGATGAACACTCTCCTTTGTACACCCACAGCACTTTACCGTAAGTCCCTCATCACACTGCGGTGGGTTGAGGGCAGGAACTTTCTCCTCCTCCTCTGAAAACATTCATCTTACCCTCTGCCACCAAAATCTATGTCACATTTTTATCTGAAATAACTACCAATAAATGTGGAATGTGTTCAAGCTAAATGCTGTGTAGGTACAAAAGAAAATGCAAACATCTGGGCCAAGACTTAAAAGATAAGTCAAATTTCACAAAAAAAAGTGAGGGGGGGAACACTCCACCACACTGAAAAGCATGCATAAAGCAGCCATTAAAGTGCAGAGGTGCTTGGGCAATGACTAGTAGACTAGAATATGCCTACAGTGTGTGTGTAGGGGGTGGGGCATCTTGAGAAATGAAGCCAGGCAGAAAGAGTTATTAACAGTGTTCAACACTGGCCTAGAGTTGGCACCTGACTGTGAAAAGAGCTAGGTCCAAGTAAGTCCTTGTGCCTAGTGGTGCCATATAATCTAATCATTTAGCCAAGTCACTAGAAGGGATATGAAGTCTGGATTGGAAAGCAAAGCGACTGGAGACGGAGAGCAATGACAGGTACTGTGGCAACCCAGGCAAGAAACAACAGGGACATTAACTGGGGCCACGTGAATGAAAGATGGGCTAAACGTTTCTGAGGTGCAATTTTCTGGCCTCTGTGACTGTTCTGGTGTGGGGATGAAGGGTATGATGCAGAGGTTTCTTGCCGGCACGCCTGGAAAATGATGACTTTAATGAAGATAAGGAATACAGGGGGAGGAGCTAAGCTAGGAGTCCAGCAGAGGTGGTTACTCCACCGGAAGTAATTCTGAAAACAATAAACATATTTAGAATTCAAATCAAATGCTAAGAGATTTATGCCATCATGCTGGGACCTACTGCTCTTATTTAACAAGCAAGTCAGAGGAAAATGTGTCCAGTTCAAAGGGCTCATTTGTTTACTAAATAATATGTTACTGTCCTTCATTTGGGAAAGAAAAAAATACCCTATTATGTGACCAGAGATCAAAAAGTGACCAATAATTTTCAATACTGTGTATTCTTAAAGTCTGCTTTTTAAGTTTCTCACAAAATAGCATTTTCTTAAGGCCTTAAGAGTCTTTTCTGTTGTGAATATCATAATGAAAATTTAACGCTGCTTAAAAATGTATTTTAAAATACTGACTTTAATTTTGCTTAATTGCTGCTTTGAATGAAATGTTTACAATTTTTGAATTTGTGATGTCCCCTCTGCAATTCATATCAAATATGTACTTCATGCATTTTCTCTATCAAGACTTTCTTAAAAGGATGAACAAGACAATCTAACTAAAAGTGCAATGCCTAAAAGTTCTCATCTATTTATGGCAATCTATTTCTATCAGGACAAACACAATATAAAGAAATTTAAACAGGCCTGAAATTTCTGTCCGTGAAATGAGGGAATAGCAGGATAACCTCGTGCAGCCATAATCAAACTTCGGTGTACAACAGAACCTTCTTGCTTGTTAAAAAAGTAGCCATCTGTCCTCCCAACCTCAAGAGACTGATTCACTAGGGTGCGGATCCAGAATATTTGACTTTTGTTCTTCAAACACCCCAGGTGACCCTGATGCAAGTGTTTTAAGGCGACTCTGAGAAATATGTGCACTGGCTTGGATGTCAGCAACACGACTTAAAGTCCACCTCTCCCACTCATTGGCTATGTGACTTCAGACTACTTACTTGGTTTCTCTGAGGTTCAGCTTTCTCATCTGTAAAAGGGGGATACTAGAAGCTTCACAAGGACTTTTTTTGTAATTCTTTTTTAATGCAGGTGCTGAGAATTGAACCTAGGACCTTGTGCATGATAAGCATGCACTCTGCCACTGAGTTATATACCCCATCATCCTTCACAAGGATGAGAGAATATAATGAAATAATGCTTATACAGTGTTAAACACAAGTGCCCAGCTATAATTATTACCATGATTCACCCAGTTCCAGGACAAAAATAAGGAAGAACTGGACATGTAAATATATTCATCATGACATTCTAAACACTTTAAAATTCATGGCAATGTTTTTTCCATTTTCATATTAAAAATTTCACCTACAAGATTCTATTAAGAACCTGGTCAGGCATGCTCTTTGTCTCTCTCTTCCTTTAATTTTGTAATACATAAAAAAAGTTTTGGGGCACATTACTTCAGTGGTTACAGCTCCATTAAGAAAATCTCACCAAAGGCCTAAAGCCTGGAATACAAATATTCACCAGAAAATACTCTATTTTTCACACCAACACAAATACTCAAAAAAATCAATACTTCCACTGAAAATTAGTCAGATTTTACAAGAAAGCAAATCTTATTTGCCTTTCCTGGTAGACCACAAATATAAGACACAAAGTTGTTATCTAAATAAAGAAAGCCATAAGCTTTGTATTTAGAAAAATCAGTTTGTGCTATAATCAGTTCTTCTCATTTCACTTAAGAACTCTGCTGGTTACCCCTGTCTTAAAATCCAAAATATAACTTACAAGTGGTCATCTAACACCACTACCTTATCCCAGAAGATACATATACACCTTCATACACACACACTTTGTGTTAAGTCACTAGAAGCTAAAATTCTTAGAAATAACCAGAAGTCCTATATATGCTTTTGCTCTACCTAGAAATTCTTAATGATGCTTTTGTGTAAACTGAGAAATTAACTCATCATTTATAAAAGTATGCAGCAACCTCTGCATCTTTCTTATCATTTTAAAGCTTTATAAAGGTCATCAGGTAATACTACCTTATCTCTTATTTAAAAAAATAGTATTAACATTCTCTAACAGTATTTTATCACCTGCCAAAAATCGACTAACAGATGTGTCTCTAACACTAGCTAAGATAAATACGTAAATGCAAAACGGAAAACTAAAGTGCAGGCTGATAAATGTGAAGGAACCACCGAAACTTGCTGAGCTGCAAACATCATTAATCAGTATTTTTCAAGCGCTCACTTGTACAAGTTACTATACAGATTACCAGCCTTCGGCCAAGGTAAATAGGGGGAGAGAGTGGGAGGGAAGAATAGGAACCCTGAAGGCCCTTTCTGAAGTGAAATGCAATTTGCTTCAAATTACCTAGGGAACTCTGCAAAACATTATTTTTTGGATATTCAGAAAAGTAAAGGTATTGCGAGCTGCCAGCACTTTGCAAAATCTGGTAGGATATTTGAGAAAGGTTAAAGATTCGGGGACTGTAAAAATCCGTCGCCAAAGGGTAATTTAGAACAAGTCGGTACTACTATGTTTTAGAGGGAGACAAGAGTAGGCGGGAGCGGGTTCGAAAGGTTCCCAAGGGGAAACTGAGGGTTCAGACAGGAAGGTCTGACAATGGGTTTTCATTGCACCCAACGTGGCGGGGGTGGGGGGTGGTTCAGTTCCAGCCGCCACCTTCACTTCCCCACCTGCACCCGGACCTGGGCGGGAGAGTAGGTCCACCCGAAGGGCCGAGCCCGGGCGGGAGCCGAGCGGCCGCGGGTTCCCGGGAAATCAGAACCGAACGGCCCCGAGGGAGGAAGGGCTGCAAGAGGGCGGGGCGCGGTGCGGCGAGGAAATCGAAAGGAGGCTGGCGGGGAGGGGGTACCGCGCGGCCGGGGACCCCCTCCCGTCCCACACCCCAGGACCAAAGCGGGGAAGGGAGGGTCCCGCGAACGAGAAGGAAGCAGAACTTACTCCGCGGTCCTCCTCCGAGAGGAAGTCGGGGCCGTCGGTCCAGGCCTTCCTGCGGGGTCAGGCCTGACG